CGCAGCACCATATAAGTTGCATCAGTCCAAAAATGTCTAATAAGGTGGGGAAAAACATAAATAAGTCACTTTGCCATATAAGTCGCATCTATTATGCGTCACCGCTAACCACCCGGAAACGTGGGCCGGTGTTGTGCCAATAATTGATTGGCTGTCAAATGGTGGCCGTGGGAGCGTGCATGGGAGGACTTTAACAAAAATGTAACAAGGTTAACTCTTAAAAACAATTACTTGTTTGCTTGAAATTACAGCAAAAGTGTGTCTCAGTTGAACTTTTCCTTAATAAATGCACTTTAATGGTCAAATCAGCTGCATTTCGCCTGGGTGGCGCGGTGAAATGTAGCTGATTTGACGTTTGCTCCAGGAGTTCTGGAGCAAGACGAAGGTGGCTCTGTATGGCAAGCAAAGTGTCACATTAATAGTCGCTTTTATCTATTAATGAGACACTTGGCTTGCCATATTCCTCGATGGCCCTCTAGCGGCTGAAAATGGTAGTGTTCAGTATTTTCCATGTCGGAATGAATGAAATCATCTGATCTCAGTCAAAAATTTGGTTTTAAATATGGGAAAAACGTATATTGGTCAATTTGGTGTATAAGTCGCAGGACTTGCAAATTTATGTAAAAAAGTGACTTGTATGGCGAAAATACGGTACTTGGGTTTTCATTTTTCTCTGTGTTCTTTTGTTCCATCATTCACCTGTCCTCAGCCAGTCCCTCTGGTTTTTTTTCCCAGTTAGCCTGACATGCCCTCTCCACCTGTAATCTCATCTGCAGTCAGTCTCCCACGTTTCTTTGTCTCTATAATCTGTCTGGACCTTCCCACATCAGTGCATTGTTGGTATCACACCACAATCTGGTTTGCTCCTGAGTCTTTCACATACGCGTTTCCTTCTGAGTTTTTATTTTTATTTTCTTATTTTTGGAAACTGCCATTTGTTTTATTGTAATAAAGTTGTTTATTTTAGTCATCTACATTCTGAGAATCATCCTTAACATATACTCCTCGAGCTACCCCCAAGATTTCACAATAGTGCATGAAACTGTGCATAAAGTTATTTATAAGGTTTGATCAAAATGATTATAGCTGTTTCTCTCCATATAATATAACTTTAGTTCAAAACTCTAACATGAGAGGCTGTGGGCGATATGCATTCCTTCAAGGAATGCTCATCCTGTAATGAATTTATAATTTTATCTGTCACTCATTTTTGTGGATCTGAGGTGATCTTCATCATGACTTTCCACGCTCACTGACATTTTCTTTGTGTCATTTACATCTGATCCAATTTTTGTTTTGCATGAATTTAAAAAAAATTTAAGCCTTTTTTTGTTCTTGTTTTTCCCATATAGGTTTTGAAATAAAACAAAATGGCAGCAAGCTATGCAACATTTTCAGACAGTTCAACTTTATGGGGAAACATAAAGTCCTTCTAAAACCTTCAGAAACCAACAAAAACTTTAAAAAAAATGTGTAAAGTATTAAACTAATTTAACCTGCCTGTGTGCTTTTATAGCTTTAATGCAGTTAAGTGTAGTGTCAAGCTGAAACATGCAGAAGGTAGTGCAATTCAGAAGTGCTGCAGCCACACAGGAGCTCCTTCTCTAAACGGCAGACAAACACTGCCAGCTCATCTGTTTATAGGTTTAAATACATTTTTAGTATATTCTTGATGAAAGCAGGAACAAAATGCCTTATTTTCCTTTTTGATGATGATGTTACAAAGTAAAGTATGGAGACTATTCAAAAAGGAAGTTGGACTTTTTAAATTTGAAATGTGATATAATTTTCTATCTGTAAATCTGATTAAAAAAAAATGCTAACTGACTTATTTTTTTAATCAACAGGAGTCTTCAAAATAAGTGCCAAGGTTGAGCTTTGAGCTGCTTGTGACTTCACATTTCATATGTTCCAAAGGCCGAAGAAAATCTGCCATGGTGATCACACACCAGACTTTCTATTAAAAAAAGCATCAGTTTATTTTAGTTATCCTTATGTTAAAATCACCTTTTTTTTTTCTTTTTAGTACATTTTCACTTTTCTTTATCCATGTATAGCCATGACATCTTAATAAATGAAATTAATTTCTTGTTAGATTAGCAGCTGCTGTTGAAGACACACCAGGTGGAAATCTATACTTTATAGATTATGTTTAAAAAAAAAAAAAAAATGCAATAACTCTTGAGGTTGTAGCACCATCTCATGGCAGAAATCTGTCCCTCAGAGACAACATGGAGCATCAACATATTAGATGATAAACAAAAAACAACAAATTTTTCCTTGACTGTTGTATCCTGTGTTGCCACATTCTGCAAGCAGAATGTTTTAAATGAATGAGTTGTGATGCAGCAGTGAAAACATCCAGATGTTGTCCGTCATCACAAATACACAGGAAACAGACCCAGGTGGCTCTGAAAAGCAACCAGAAGGAGAGAAAAGTAGTTGCCAGCAGCATTTTAAAGACAGTGACACATTTTAGACTTTGATCATCAGGATCAGATGGAGCAGAAATAAAACTTCTCAAAGTAAATGTCTCACCAGATGTGGAATTTTAAAAGACATTGAAATTAAAACACCAAAAATGTTATACAGTTAGCATTTGAATTTTTTGCCTTTGAATTCAATCTTTACAATTTTCAGGAACATCTAATTTGATTTTTCAACGTTTATATATATAAAAGTCTTCTTTTTTGATTGGTGAGTTTTGTTGTCAACTAATTCAGTTTCAGTGCTGAACAGTAGGATGAGCAGCAGATTATTGATTGGTCAAACAGCATCCATCCAATCATATCCTGCTCATTTTGTCAAATAAAATCAACCAGCAATTAAAAATGAAGACTTGGAATTTTAATTAAATCAAAATTTTAAAAAATAATTCACGTTTAGCTGAGTATTTTTTTCTACTATGAAGAATAAAATACTGAATTTTCTGACACCGAGAAATGTTTTTTTTTTTGTTTTCACTGTTAAAAATAATCAAGGGTAAGTACTCCTTAAAAAATGAAAAAGCTGATTTTCAAATGCAAAATATATATTTTACTTCTTTGTCTGCTGTATTCCAACATAAGTGGCACCTTATTCTACTGATTTAGTGATAACCTGAAAAAAGAAAGAAAGAAAAATACTAAAACACTGCTGTGATCTTCTTCTTGCCACAGGACTAGCTGGATATTAAAGCACAGTGTTTATAGTAACTCAAAATAATCGGGTGTGGATGAAGAACCATCAGATCCAGACCCTGTCAGGGCCAGCAGACCCATTAAAATCCTCTGGAATGTGATGAAGATGGGGATGTCAAACAGCTGAGCGGATTTTTGCACCAGGAGGGCAAAAAGTCACCCAACAGCAACGTGGAGGACAGCATGGTGTAAAAACAGTGATAAAAATCTGAAGTATTGCTGTCTAATAATAATAATATCACTTAACAAAATGAAATGTTAGTTTTGTGATGTCTAAAAATGAACATATAACCTTATTTTATATTATATGAGGTCTGAAAACTGCAGCCTTCCTGTTTTTCTGACCATCGGTGGTGTGTGTGTGTGGGGGGGGGGGGGGGGGAGTAGATGCCATTTCCTGCATTCTGGTGTATTTTAATAATTTGTTAAACATCTACGTTTACCTACATAAGTAAATCTTGATTCAGTAACTATTTTAGAGAGTAGCCTGACCAACAGCTCTCCTTGTGTGAATAGAGCACACTCTGCTAACAACACAGAGGTTTCTCCCCCTCTTACCCTCGTAGCGCCCTTGCCAAGTCAAGTGACCCCGAGGAAACACCGCATGCAGTGTGGTGGTGAGTTGTTGTAGGTAAACAGGAAAACCTGGAGTGGACTTTTAGAGGTTTGAGTATTCTCCTATTAATCAAGTGGAATGGATTATTTCATGAAAAAATTAAAATGGTGCTGGGTGAACTAACATTTCATGGTAAATGTGTGTGTGTGAAGGGGGGGTCCAAACAAATATTTTTTAAATGTGAGAGGGGCACGTTGGTCATGTTCAGAAAATAAATGTTCCTTTTATCCGTTTTTCTTTTGGTCTGAAATTTGACTGCAAGTCCACAATTGTTGATCTTTAACTCGTCCTCACAAGAGTTTGACACATTCAGTTGGCTTTAGTTGGTTTAACAAATCTTGTTGTTATCCCCCAAAGAAGCATAAGAAGTGTGGGACACCCAGACTTTTATTTCTGTCACTCCAAGTCTTCTCAAAACCTGTAAAGACTCTGAAAGTTGTGTAGTGTGTCCACGGCTTTTGACAGATGTGTCACCATGAAACTGACAAAAATCAACCAGCCTTCCTGTTTCTTGTATCTTTTTGCCTCCACGGCCATCGTAGTTTACAAAAACACCTTTTGAATTTTGGAAATACTTGCATTGTTGGAGGGAGATTTATGGTTTGCAAAAAGAATAAATGCAAATTGAATCTACTGTGTAATGAAAAACAGGGTGGTCTTTGAATTGCACACAGTCTTTTAATGTGCCAGCTTCTGTGGGGAACTGAGGACGTGTCCAAAAACCATCTGGTGAGTGTTACTGTTTTTTTTTTTTTTTAAATGAACCACTGACCAGATTTCTGCCGTTTTCCCCCCTCCTTCTTTGGCATTCTTTTTCATACCACAAAGCACAAAATCCAGAAAACAAACGAGAGAGAGAGACTTGCAGAGACTTTGAAAGGGCAAAACTGGGAGGGACTGAAGGTGAAGATAACTTGGATCTGACAAGGAAAAAGACGAGTTCAGCAGCTAAAATTCTGACAGAATAAAAACTTCATGCAATGCAAGGAAGAAAGTCAATTTGAGCATTTAGGTAATCAAAAACTGTTTTTCAGCAGAGGGAGGCTAAGGTTTGACTGAGGCAAGCTTCCTTTTGCAGGACTGCTAGAAAATTAGGAAATATTATCCATACAGTGCATTTCAGAGGACAGCAACTCCCTAAAGACGTTCCTGCAGCTGCAATTTTTTTAAGAATTAAGACACTAAGAGCAGAAAAGTGAGGAAGGATGATGCTTCTGTTTGTCGTATCTCTGTGTTTGACTTTGGGATCAGTCCAGAGCCAAGGTTCTTCCCAGGATGCTTTCATAATCCAGTACCTGGAGAGAAGACTCGCTCAGGTGGAGGTAAGATTTTTCTGCTTCTCTTTCTCTCAACTAGATAATCCCTGAATACAGAAACATCAGTGTTACCTGACTGTACTACCCTGAAAGAACAGTTTACAGTATGCTTCAGTCTTTATGTTTACATTTGAACTTCTCTTTGGAATTTAGCATTCGTTTCAGTGGTGAAATGATTCTCGCAGCCTTTAACTGTTTGCAGGAATGTTGAATCATCTGGCAGCAACATTTCTGGCATCCTTTCAGCGCTCTGGCTGCTTTTTATTAAAGCTTTCTTTTATGAGAATCTGGATGAGACATCACAAAGCTTCTTTCAATATGTTTTTCTTTTTTTTTGCGTGTGTAGAAATACAGCATGTTGACATTTATGTTGAGAGACAAACTGCTGGCCCACATATTTTCTGTGGGTTTTCTGATCATTTCCTTAATCAGGCCAGCTTCTGTTAAATGGAGTCACTGTGGCCACAGATGACATTTACAGGGTGATAAAATCGTTCACGTTGTAGTGCAAGTAATTAAAACAAAGTGAACTTTAAACTAGGGAAATTGCATTTCCTGCAAAAATGCAGTGTGAATGATTATTGCAGAAGAACATGCTGAAAAGCAGCTGAAATTAGCTTAAAAAACATGCTGAAATGAAGCTGAAAAGAAAGAACAAACCTATATTAGCAGAAAGAGCACATCTT